AAAAACTCATCACTCGTTTGGATGTAATGCCAGTGAAATAGTTTTCAAATCCGAAGTCAATGACTAGTTTTTGTCCGAAAAGCGCAGATGTCTTGAGACGAGTTCTGGTGATGTATTCCTTGCCGACCGTCGGCTTAATTCTGGTGAACAGAGTGTTATGCCATAAGCCATACATTATCTCATTGTTATCGTCGAAGATACCGATCCTCGACGTGTGTCCACTGTTTTTCAGATCCAATCTCTCCTTGTTTTGTGACACTTCTGTGCATCGGATCCGCAAAACAAATCAATTACACGACAATCAACGCATAGGTAATAAGCAAACCCTCTCTTCGGCGACACTTCTCCGCGAACCGAATCAGTTCCAAGTCGTACAAGAAGTGGATCTGTTGTCGGATCTCGTGCTTGAGGTCCAGCTCTAACAGGTCTCGCATGTGATCTTCAGTGAGATGAGTGGGCACTCGGAATGAAGTCCTCAAGAGTTCGTTATATATGTCGCAAATGTCTTGTACTTTGCGGTACTGTTTGTCAAAGTCTTCGGAACCGCTGCTGTCTTCAAACCTCAAGACATTCAGCCATTGTTTGTATTGTTTGCCATCAATTGGTGCCAACTCTTGGCGGCGATTGTCTTGAAACTCATTCTCGTATCTAATCTTAAGACTCAATGCATTCAACAGTTTCTGTCTTTTGCTGAGTCTCTCCTTCGGTCGATGTCTTTGTGGACCACTTTTGGACACATTCTTCGAGATCTCGTCGACGTTTCGGTTTCTGCTCTCATGTGATGACAACTTTTTGTCGCAATTTATGACAACTTTTGCAAAGTTTTTGACATAACGTGTGTGTATTGACCACAATCTCATACATAATATACTATTCATAACCCAATTGTCACTCAAATTAAGTGTAATTTTGTGTAAAATTAAAATTAAAACTATTTTTGAGGTTTTGTTTTGATTTCAAAATAGACTTTTCAATTAAATACCATTTAAGCCTTTTGTATATGTAACACCCATAGTATCATATGGTAGTATATTAGATAAAAAGGTTCCATATTTACGGTCAGTTCATTCATAAATATCATAGAGATTTCTTATGAAAAGTTTTATTAAAGTTTTTATTCATAGACTTCAATACAATATGCGGTAAACATTTAGCATTTTAACAGTTGATCTAACTTTGAATAAAATTATCTTGATTATTTATACTAATATATAGTATAGATTGATTATACTAATTAAGTTTTAACCGTAAGTTTTCCCAAAAAGGTGTTACCGGCGCCGCCCACATAGAAAGTCCGCTCACTTTTCCTGTGAAACACTTCCGTTATCTCCGAAAGCGCCGACACTTTATTGTCTGGCGATGACTGCAATGTATTCACAATATTCCCATTGGCGTCCACTTCTATAGCCATACCAGGGTACTTCACTAAATTCGGTAATACCAGAGCTAAACCTGTTTTTAGGTTTAAGCCATAAGTGGACAGACTTTTGATTCCCAATGTAGTGCCAAATGTATGCAAACATGAGCCTATAGATTGTGAAAATAATTTGTAACAGGGTAATTATCAATACAGTTATATCATTAATAATACCCCAAATATAAGCCCCTCTAAGCAATAGTTTCCGTTGAATGGGTTTATCACTAAATCGGTCACAAATAGTGGTGTTCAGAGAATCGCGTTTAGGGTAATTATGAGTACAGTTATATCATTAATAATACCCCAAATATAAGCCCCTCTAAGCAATAGTTTCCGTTGAATGGGTTTATCACTAAATCGGTCACAAATAGTGGTGTTCAGAGAATCGCGTTTGTACATTTGTGTACATTTGCCATGTTACTAGTTTACATTTATTGTGCTTAAAATATTATGTTGTTTTAACATTTATATACAATTTTTCAAAGTTATGTAATAATCTTATATAATATATTGCTCATATATCTCGACTAGAATTTTGATCAGACACAGTTTAATAAGTTTATCTGCTACAAGTTGTAACTTACAACCTAAGAATGTACTGTATATTAGGCTTATTTTTAATTCACATTTTTAATATACCGTGTTATAGATTTTTATTTTTATTATAAAATAGACAAACCTAAATTATCCCAATTATCAAGGTACCGGTATTTAGGTTGTTACACTAAATCCATTCAGTTCATACGCACTAAATAATCCAGTTATATTTTATAATTAATCTTTTGTTTTTAACGTTTATTGCAAAAGTAAAGTCAAATTATACAATAAAAATAAGTTTTAAATTTACTGAATTTAATTTATTTAGCTTGATCATTATAGAGACTGTTTAAGCTTCTTAAGTTTGTCGGCCAACTCATCCACGTCTATGGCCTTTAGATCCCAATTCATACCGTTCTCTCCCGATTCAAAGGGACCGATAGATAAGCGCAGGTTTTTGATGACCAGTTCCTTCACAATAACTTTATTTATAACTATCGGGTCGTCCGGATGGGGATGGGGTTGACGTGTAGTAGTAGTGGACCCGTAGTAAAGTGTGGACGGGTATTGACTTGTAGATGTTGAACCGTAGTCAGTTGTGGACGGGTATTGACTTGTAGATGTTGAACCGTAGTCAGTTGTGGACGGGTATTGACTTGTAGATGTTGAACCGTAGTCAGTTGTGGACGAGTTGTTCGGGGTATTAGTCACCCAATCATCACTAAAACACTGCCTCTCTTTGTCGTCGTATTTATAGTCATAACACTTATCATTATTAGCGCCATAAATCAAAAGATTTATAAAATCCTTTAAGTTATCCTGCTCATCATCACTACAGATACTCTGTATTAAAATAATTATTTAATATAATAGGTTATTTTAATTTTATTATATATTTTTTTTTATTTCACCTTGTCAGTTTGCTTAATACAGTCAATGAAGATCCATCCATAGCAGCATTCCCTGTGGTTCTCATAATGATCAGGGTCAACATTGGATATATTCAAACTTGCTGCATATGCACATTTGACCAAGGGATCATTGATCTTTGAAACGCATTTAAATGCATCATCATAATCGCCAGAAAATTGTCCAGTTTTTATAAATTGGTTCAGGGCCAGATTAAGCGGTAATGATGTTACATGCAAAAATATATTACTTGCAAATAAACATAAACTAATTACTACTAGGTTATTCATGTTTGAAGTCAATTATAACACCTTATTTTTGTGATAGAATTGCTGTCTGCTAGTCATTTGTGTAGCTAGATCCTTTTATAGTTTTAGTTTCAACAAAGCTTTTATTACAATAGTAATAAATTTACTAATTTTATTAATTATTAAGAGATAAATATCACTTTTATTACATAATCCGCATTAATATCAGCATTGTAAATTAATTAAATAAGTGTAATGATTAAATTTTCCAGTGTATTTCTATTATATATGATTCATTAAATTAGTATTATACAATTTATTGCCTTATTGCACTAGTTTAATACAATACTAAATGTTATATAAGTTTCATTGTATTATGAAATACCTTGTTGACTCATCACAATATTAAGCAAAATATCTCATTTATGGTAAGTATTTATGAGAATTATTAGTACTTTTCTAAACCTATTTTTAAACAACTGATAATTTAATTATAATTTTAAACTACCTTCAATAGCAAATTGATTGCAAACTTAATTGAAATAAAATAAAGCCATAAATACCTATACTAGGAACCTCAGTTTCGAGTAGCAGTTAGGAAAAACTCTAAGCAAGTAAACTCTAGAATTATTAATTCAAATATACAGTATATGATAACTTCTAAGTACTGTAGGGTAAAATCGAATAACTTTTGAACGGCTAATCCGATTTAAAATATGTTTTCACCAAATTATAGCTGGATAATTAAGTAATTTAACGACCCACTGATTGACATTTTACCACAGATAATAACTGAGATATTCAAGTTTAAAATGTAACTAAGGTTCTCCATAGAAAATGTATAGGGTTTCTGTAAAATGTTTCAGTATTTCGGTGATATTTTATGAATACGTAAAAATTATATTATCTTGGTTATTTTAATTCCGATTTTTGAAATTCATAAACCATTTTCAGCCAGTGGATTTTTCAGTCAGGTAGAGAGAGATGTATTCTTTAAAATAAAATTCAGTAAAAAATATGTCAAAAAAGGTAGTAGTGACCCTTATATACCCTTTAACCCTTTACTATAAAACCCAATGTAATCACTGGACATACTCTGGACTTCATAACACATTTAAATCTACAAAAATGTAATCACTTTTAAATGAAATGTTTTTCAAAATAAATTAAATTAAAAGTTTCTCATTAAAATTGTTTCATCAAAATAAATATTAATATAATTATTGTTAATTAAATACATAAAGATATACATAATAAATATGAATGGAAATAAAATATCTTAGAAAAATTGACTGGCAAATTTATTAATCATAATAATCGCAAGTATATTGAATTTGTTTATTGCAAAAGTAAAGTCAAATTATACAATAAAAATAAGTTTTAAGTTTACTGAATTTAATTTATTTAGCTTGATCATTTTAGAGACTGTTTAAGTTTCTTAAGTTTGTCGGCCAACTCATCCACGTCTACGTCCTTTAGATCCCAATCCATACCATTCCCTCCCGATTCAAAGGGACCGATAGATAAGCGCAGGTTTTTGATGACCAGTTCCTTCACAACAACTCTATTGATTGTAATCGAGTCGTCGTCCGGATGGGGATGGGGTCGACGTGTAGTAGTGGACCCGTAGTAAAGTGTGGACTGGTATCCACTTGTGGTACTGGATTCATAGGCAGGTGTAGACGAGTAGTCCGGGGTATTAGTCACCCAATCATCTCTAAAACACTGCCATTCTTTGTCACCATATCTATAGCCACGACATAGTCTGTCCTTGCTCATCAGATACTGTTTGTAATCTTGCACATAATCTCTCAATTCATCTTGCTCATCCTCACTACATATCCGCTATTAAAAGTGTTCAAAGTTTTATTATAGTTAAGCATATTTTTAACAATTACCTGGTTAGTGTTGGCGATGCAGTCAAAATAAATCCACGATTTACAGCAGTTGTAGTGATTGGGGTACTGATCAGGGTTAATTTGCGATATTTTCACACTATTATCATCCGTGCATTTCAAAATAGGATCGCGTATTTTCTCAATACATTTGTAGGCCTCCTCGTAGTCATCCGTATCAAAGTCCTTGGTGTTTAAGAATGGACCAAGGTCCAATTTGTTCGCTGATGAATATATAGAGTTCAGTAGACATGTAGCAAATAGCACAAAAGTAACCAGAACGGTTTTAGCCATTTTTAATACTTTATAAACTTTCGGTATACTAAAATAATGAGTGCGCTTTTGTATCCATGTTCTTTTATAGTTTATTTTTTGGTAATATAATTTTATTAGTAATAAATATTTAATTGTATCAATATGATAAAAATCTTTTACAATTCATTATCTAAAAGTATAATTTATTAATCATTTTGACTCTAATCAAATTTAGTAAATTGAATGGAAAAAATCATTTATGATTTATGCTGTCATTACTATTTTATTGTTATATGTACCAGTATAATTTTATTTTCCAAGTTCACAATGAGATTCGATAATGATTATTATACTGTACTCAGTGTACTGTATTCGAAATATGTCATTTTTAGAGTACACAGGGGATAAATGTTGAAGCACAAATAATATGTACACTATTTAATATGGTATTGAATTTATTAAATGAATATGTTGTAATTAAACAAGGTTGCCAAGCCAATCAATACGGATACGCTTTTCTAGTAATTTTAAAATTGTTTTTATGGGTTTTAGTTTTGATGCCATTTCTTTGGCATCTTACAGAAACTGATATCAAACGGGTCTTTGTGTCCATATCTACACAAATATGACATCAAAACAATGAATGAAACATATTTTCAATCAAAATTGTTTTGAATTGAATTAAGTTTTGCAAATACTTATTGAATTGAAACATATATAATACCCATAGTATCATATGGTAGTATATTAGATAAAAAGGTTCCATATTTACGGTCAGTTCATTCATAAATATCATAGAGATTTCTTATGAAAAGTTTTATTAAAGTTTTTATTCATAGACTTCAATACAAATGCGGTAAACATTTAGCATTTTAACAGTTGATCTAACTTTGAATAAAATTATACTAATTAAGTCTTAACCGTAAGTTTTCCCAAAAAGGTGTTACCGGCGCCGCCCACATAGAAAGTCCGCTCACTTTCCCTGTGAAACACTTCCGTTATCTCCGAAAGCGCCGACACTTTATTGTCTGGCGATGACTGCA